TGTCACTTTTTGTGATTCTTTCATCAGTTTGAACAATATTTTTGCTTTGAAGTGATCTTCTGTACTCATTGAAAATGGTCAGTAAGGAAAAAATAACCATTAACTTCGGACTAACAATGTTTCTTGTCACCAAACAGTAAAAAAACTGATAATATATTTGTTTGTGAAAATGTAATTTTGGACTTGTAATATGGACTGCAAAATGCACGAAGTTTTAGGTACGATATTTTCATGTCAAATTGGCTTGTAGTAATAAATAAAAGTCTGCCCTGTAAAACTATTATCTCCCTTTAATCTTTTGATGCAACATATGGATTTTAAATCTATCACAGCAGCATATAGCTATGAGATGTTTAAGAAAAGCTACAGGATCTCAATTTTAATAAGCCATTTTCTTTGCAGTAAAATACTTTATAAGCAGAAATGAGAGAGATTATGCACAATAACTTTCAACTGACATGACTTGTAGTTTTTATCATCATTTCAGAAACACTGATCATTAGAGAAAATACATTTGTAAATGTGCTGCAGTTATCTTCATTTTATCTTCATCTGACAAAATTTATTTAAAAACAATTTAATATTTCTCTACTATATTCAGAATAAGTAAATTGCTGTTGTACAATTCATTTTTTTAAAAAAAAACCATGTAGAATCAACTGGGATATTAACCTGCTATTACTATTATTATTGATTCACTTTTTCTCATTTCTAATTAAGTTATATACACATTCCCTTGATAATTCACACACAATGTCATCCACAAACATAGACCACACTATAAGCGAGGGCACAAGTTACTGAGCGACCTCCAAAATTTTTTAAAAATCCACTTTGGCTATACTTCGAGAAAACCATGGCAGTGGTGGGTATGGGAATGGGGCTGTTTAATGACTGAATCCTCGTTTTATAATCATGTTGATAATAATTGTTAATAAAGTGCTTTTTCTAATGAAGTTTGTTTTTCTGTTTAAATTGCATTTGTTTTCAAAATGTCCAACGTGTGAAAGATAGTTCCAACTGGTTTTAACAATCATCACATGTATGCAAAAATATGTGTGTATTATGTCACTGCTTTTTGTTTTGTTGATTAGTCTGGTTCCCGAAATGGTATTTAATAGTATGCTGCCAAGTTAGGAGTCTGTGTTGCATGGAACTAGACTGTTGATACACCACCAAACAAGATCCTTTCTTTCAAAAACTGGCGACATTTATTTTGTTAGACAATAATCTATGTCAAAACTCAAATTTTGTAATGTTCAGGTAGTACAGTATTGATTTCATTGGAACTAATAGTGAAACTTCTTTCCTCCTTAATGATATCTCTAAGTGCCAGTTTATGAATTCTCTGAAACTCCTTGCCCACAATGATCCTTGTCTTTGAAACCAAGCTCTTTAATTTTTGAGGTATTAATTTCTTTTGGTTGCCTTGGTATCGTTGATCACAATTATAAATAAATCTGTGTAAAGTAAGTTAGTTTATGTTACATACACAATAACATTTATAACAGTGTTTGATCAAGTGAAGTGAGTTCACCCAACATGCTACAGGGGACACTAGATTTTAAGAAGGATGAATTTGCGTGCCTAATAATTTTTCTTTTATTCACCTTTGATTCAAAAGATATAATTGACGTAATAATACAAAGGAGGCCAGCTTTTAATTCAGTGCAACAATACAACCAATACTTCCTCAAGTCAGTTATCAAAACATAGTCAGGACTTAATTGGGTTCTCAGAGAAATGCTTGCAGACATAGCTGACACATTTTATGTTTAATTACACATTACATTTTTGTTGTCTACACTTAAGAAGAAAAGATAGAATTAAAACACAAATTTCAGTTAATAAAAATATTTAATTTAGCATTTAATTCTTTATGTACTACCTACACTAGGCATAAGTGACATTTTCATTGTCAAAATTTCCTTGAATATCTTTACAATGTAGTAAGAATGTCATTTGGAAAGAAAATGTATCCAATTATGACTTCTTATGAAAAGCCAATAATTTCAAAATATTTATTAAAATTTCCAGGTCCTCTCTACCATTTTTGAACATGAAACAAGCAATATATAAATGTTTCAGTTAGCAATTTTCGATCATTATTTTCTTCATGTTCAATAAATAGGGATCAATTGGAGGGGGGGTATTTTCTGGTTTTAGACAAATGGGATCCATGTCTGACCCCACATTATAAGTGGGTTTGCAAGTTATCAGGGCATGAGTTATCGAGGAAGTGGTATAGTAGAATTTGGTCATATTTAACATATACAAAATTAAAGCTTTAGAAGTTTTACTGATTAAAGTTGAATAAGCCAGCATTACTGCAGTAATCAAACTGTTCAGTTAAAATATTCCTGACAATCATAGAATTAATATTAAAGGTTCACAATAAATGTGAAATAATTAGGATTTACAACCTATGAAACCAGAGCTTCTCCAATCTCTTGATAATCAAACTAAGTCAAGGTCATATCAAAACATTTCCATACCAAACTTTTGCTGAAACTTGAAAAAAATTATAATGAAAGGAGATGTTATGCGAAAATGAAAGTGGGTGGACCTGAAAATCGTGAGCTGTAACTCTCCTAAACGAGGCAAAATGCTGATGACTGAACTCAGTCTTATCAATATAAATAAACATAAGGAGTCAAAATTAAATAAGGGATTTATTGTAATGGAATAAAGTGGGTGAATCTGCCATCAGGGGCTCTAACCCTGCTGAATGAAGACAAGGAAGGTTGATAATGTATATCATCTAAGGTATCATCACTATCAAGCAGTGTGCCAGTTACAGTACTAAGTAGAAACAAATGTGTGTAACACTGACAATCAGGGTCTATAACTCTAAATTCAAACTGATACAGAAAACTGACAATTTAAGTTGGCCATGGTCTCAATAGTACAAAGCAGTATAGCAAATTTGTTTTAAAAATCTCAAAATACTCAACAGATTTATGTACAAGAAAGAATGTGGGCGAACTAGACAATCAGGGGCTATAACTGTTAAAAAATGCTACTGAAGGTTCACAATCAATAGCTGCTACTATCTCATCACTATCAAACTTTATCCCAAATTGGATGAAATCCAAGAATAATTAAGGGAATTTGTTGATTGCTTGTTTGTTTTTTATAATAGAACTTTGAACACATTATTGACTATGGTAAATGGTATCTACTGTTAAGTGCCTTTTGCCTTTTAAAAGGACACCTGGCATTCAACCAAAGCATAATGATGTAACTGTTATGGAATCCATGGTCCTTAGATTACAATCTGACATGTCATGATGCAGTGGCTCAATCTTGTTTTACTTAAAATTAGGGAGTTATCTGAACCACAAGGAAACAAACTTAGAACTCAAGGATAAAACATAATCCTATAGTAATGTTTTGCTGCTGCTGTAATCGGATTTAACGCCATTTTTTCAGCACAAGATAGTCTATGCATGGACCTGCACATTTGCTGACTCTTGAGTTTGTTCTAGGTAAGTTTTAATATGTGAATAAGTATGAACTATATTCATTATTTGACAAATATAAAATCAGACTTGCACTCTTTGATTTTCTAAAAACTTTTATTCTGTGGTTTCTTGCAGCTGCTATAAATTTATTTAAGCACTTTTCCATTGAGTTTCTTCTTCTTCTTTCACTGTAATGGAATTAACTTGTCGTCCATTACTTTGCTGAGCTTTTTCAGAAAAATATTCCTCTTTGATTTTTATAATAATGTCATTTTCCAAAGCCTCAGCATCCTTGATAATCAATTCATTCTGAGGTGCCTCTGTTTTCTCTGTAACTAGTGACTTAGAATGAACATCTATATGGCGCATTAAAACACTGTTTTGATGGAAAGATTTGCCACAAAATGTACATGTGTATGGTTTTATCCCAGAGTGTGCCCTGATATGCCTCTGTAAATGTGAGCTTCTAAAGAAACCCTTCCCACAGAGCTCACATGTGAAAGGTCTAGTCCCTGTGTGTGTTCTTTCATGAATTACTAATCGACTCTTGTGAAGAAATCCCTTTCCACAAACATCGCAGACAAATGGTCGATCATTCATATGATTCCGTTTGTGTGTTTGAAAATTGGATATGTGATTGAATGTACTGCCACAGATTTCACATGAATAGGGCCGTTCCCCTGAATGTATACGAGTGTGGTTTTTCAAGCTGGAGATATGTGAAAACCGTTTTGGACATGTTTTACATGCATAGGGTTTCTCTCCTGAATGTACACGCTTGTGGCTAAAGAGACTGCTACCAAATGAAAAAGTCATGCCACAAAGTTCACATGCAAATGGTTTTTCTCCAGTGTGTACACGGCGATGGTTAGACAGTCCTGCACTATGTCGGAAACGTCTGTCACATTCTTTACACTTGTATGGTTTTGCTTCATTGTGTACTTTAGAATGCACTATGTAGTCTTTCTTTTTCCTAAATGATTCTTCACAATATTCACACTGGATAGGTTTTACTTTCGTAACAGCCCTTTGCTTGGCCTCCTTTAATTTAACCACATTTAGGAAACTTTTTTTCAGCTGTGTTTGGTTACCGTTTTTTTTAGCTATTTTCATTCCACTTGGCTTATTCCTGCATGTTTCTGTATCATGCTTTTCTTGTGTGTTCTTTTCCTTGCTAGGATGTGTTTTTCTCTTCCTTTTAATCTGCATTGTCCATTGTCTTTCTTCATCCATTTTATTCACCTTATTGCCTGAAAGAAGAAACTAGAGAATGGAAATGTGTGTGTGTGTGTGTGTGTTTGTGTGTGATTAGTCTTTTAATGTAATTTTAAAAAATTTTCAGTTATATCACTATGATGTCTGAAATGTGGCAGTTTATAGTGGTCTAGCTCTGGGGCATCATGCAACAGGCATGAAGCATTATATCCCACCCAGTCACATTATCCTGACACCAGGTTAACCAGTCCCAGCACTAATCTATTATTGCTAAGCACCAAGCAAGGCAGCTGTTATTATTATTTTTATAAGTTTTTGGTATGACTCACCCAGGGATTGAACCCACAACCTCCCGCAACCAAGGCAGAAGCTCTAACCACTAGGCCACCGGAACGGTCAGAGTATGGAAATAACAATGTTGTTAACTGTTATACAAGTCCCTTAGTGAAATGGTAAAATGTTAATTAGCCAGGTAAGCAATATCTGGTCACCATTAGCTTCTTTCTATTTTACCAAGGGCATTAATTGAAGATGAATTAGCATCATTTTGTGCAAAATGCAATGTTTTCTGCAAATATATAGTTTTCTATTTCACCTCAGGTCACAATTATCATCTTCTAAAGGAAAACATTACCTAAAGGAAAATAACCTTCTAGAATGATACTGATGTTTGCAAAATAAATATATTATTTATTATTAGAAACCAGAACCTGGACTGTCAAATACACAATGGAAATTCCAAAACCCAATCCTAGACCCAAATAAACATATTTATTTCTGTTAATAATAATTCTGATTTTAAACCCACACACACAAATTTTTTAGCTAAGTATTAGTTCCTTACAGAATAAAATATAATCAATTCAGGTCAAACAGAAAATAAACTAAATTAAATATACATAACTACAAACACAAAAATTAAGTTATGATGCTCTATTAATTATATAAACTTATTTAATACAAAAAAAAATAAAATTTGTATCTGGTTCTTCTATACTGATTCTATTCATTCCCTTCATGCAACTGTTGATACGTGACATCATCCTTGATAGCAAGAAATAACAAGTGTAATGGATACACATCTAAATGAAAACTGAGGTTAGTATGGTACTAAAAAAGCAAACAATGAGCAATGTTTCCAATTAAATTAAATTTTCTTGGCTAAAGTTTGTTTTAGAAGCATGTTTTTCATTAACTGTATAATTAATATCGTGCAACGCTCATGAGCCTTTAAGTTCTATAGGTAAAATTGTCCTCATTGTAAACAATCTCCCCAACAATCTTCACATTTTTATGTCTTAAATGGATAACATGGAAATCCAGTTTATATTATTATCTAAAACTTAGATCTTTATCAATGTATGGAATAAAAAAATCCAGATGATTCATTATAGCTCTACACCCTTTTTTGTAGTCCTAAAACGTAAGCCCCAACACCCAGATATTTTTCTTCTGGTTGGGTGATTGGAAAACAAAACCAACATGTGCTGTCTTACATTGTAGGACTACCTATTTTGATGCAGTGTCACAAACCCCCTGAAGAAAAATTATCTCTCAATGACATCACAACCACATCTGTTTAGACCTACGCTGACAATGAAATGCAGGCTGAAAAATGTGTCAAAATCTTTACAGTAGTTGTAAGTGAAACACATATATGGAAGAAAAACTCAATTTCACTAAATCGCCTTTTTCCAATCAATAAGTCTTCATAAAAATCATTGCTCACTATTCTGATGGTGCAAGTCAGCCTCTGGCCATAGTAGGCACCCAATGCCAGACCACAGGAGTCTGCAGTTTTATCAATAAAGCACAACAAAATTTCTGACAACATGAAATCACCTTAACGATATTATAAATTAACAATTTATAATACAGTTATGGTGATTTCTGTCAGAAATTTCATCATGCTTTATTGATAAAATTGCAGACTCCTGTAGCAATTTATAATGCCGTTAAGGTGATTTCATGTCAAAATTTTGTCATGCTTTTTTGATAAAACTGCAGACTCTTGTGGCAATTTATAATACCGTTAAGGTGATTTCTGTTAGAAATTTTGTCGTGCTTTATTGATAAAACTGCAGACTCCTGTGGCCAGACTTACTACTGCAAAATGCATAAGTGAAACCGTTTCGAATGGTGTTTTGATTGCCAAGAATATTAAGGACTACATCAATGTCATTGTTATCCATTATTTGCTAAAATTGCAATATATTTCTACAGTAATGAATGTATCACAATGAAATGAGTATTATTTCCGAAAAGGTGGGAAAAAAAGTGCGTAAATACCGAGGAGTACATTATACTATTAGTTAGACAAACATGTAGGTCTGCTTTTTTTTTCTTTTGATCTGACTGCTGCTGTCAGATAAAAAAAAAAAAGAAAAGCAGAGACCTACTTGTTGGTCTAACTATTAGTAAGCACTGTAATCGAGTTTATAATAAGAGTAATGAAATACCGAGAAATTTTCCTATCCAAGAAGTTAAAAACCACAGAATTGTCATTTTTGATCATTTTTGTACAAAGCATGAACCTGGCAGCCGAGCAATTAACGCAAATTGGGAGTATCTAAGCTAATAAATGATTCTTGTTCAAGTTTCAAAACTGCACCATATATGGTGTATACACGTTAGGTATAACGTCTTTGGTTTCATTTAATGCAGAAAATGTCAATTTTTAACTTACACAGCTATAAAACTGTACTGATATCGCTAACAAATTTCATGTAGGGAGGCCCGGAAAAAATTGAATCCCAAAAGAAAACAAACCCTTTTCAAGACTATTACCTACATAAGTAGCAACGCGAGTGATACATTCCGGAGTATAGTAGAATTCAGAAAAAATAAAAAAATAAAAAAATAAATACCAGATACACGTTGAACAATATACGACGAAGGCTTGTGAATGAAACAAAATATACAGGAAGTAATTAAATACTTCTATACACGCGAAAGCGCGTTTGTTAATGCAATCATCTTTTTTGACAATGTAAATTTACCTGCCTTGGTCGAACTGATCACTTTTATATAGTCGATTGCACATGCGGAAAACATTATCAGCACAAGAATTCATAGTGAACTCGTCACATTTAGTTGCTTCTATGAAATCATTCTCCAGCAAAAACCAATTTTTTTTCCCTCAAACTTTCCTCTTTAAGATGATTCTTCCTATAAGAATTCTGATCCACTGTTGTTTAGTCTAAACTTTTCAACTCATGGTATATGTTATTTGTTCTTGTAGGAACATCTGGAAACAAGTGATCATATTCAAATAATAGCTGTTTTAGTTCACTCTTTGTAGTAGCAGCAGATGTGCAAGTTTCAGGTTCAGATTATTAAATATTTCTGAATTCCGAAGATTGGTAACACAAATTTCACCACATTGCATTCCATCGCATAAATATTCACGGTGTAGGATAGTTACAACAAAATTGACTGGATGATTAACAAGGCTGTTTTACCAACATGTGCTCCTTTAACAAGCTTTTATGGCAAAGTTTTTTGTGATTTTGTTTACTTTCTTTTCAATTGTATAAGAACCACACCACTTATCCTAAAGAGGAATTTATGGTATGGGCAAGAGAGCCAGAACACAATGACCGGGTTGAAAACTCCCTTCCTTTGTATTTTGTCATATCTTTGTTTCATTTATGACTGAAAAGAGTAATGATTAGTTCTTGCAACATTTTATATTTGAAATCAAAAGCGTAGTCCAGAAGATTAATTTCTGAATCTTCGTTTGAAAGAAGTTTCTGTTTTAATAACTTCAATGGTCCAAAAATTAGTTCGAACGGATTGAAGCCTTAAGACCTTTGGATTGATTCATTTACATCAAACAACAGCGAAAAAACAACATCGTCGTGATATTTTCTGGCATCAAAACAATACTCTTTTCCGGTATCCAAACAATACGACCGAATCATATTTTTCTTGGCTTTCGAGATTATAGACATTGCTGGATGTCTACTTCACGCATAACTTCCTGGAAAATTCCAGAAACAACATTTAAGCCCTGATTAGATTTGAAGATTTGGGAAGACCAAATTGTGTAGGAAAAATAAAACAACTTTATTAAATTTTTTAATATGGTTTTAGTTTTGATATTTCTCAAAATTGAATTGCCTTGATGAATCTTACAGACTCACAAGTATTGGTTACCTAGCTTGGTCTTAGGTAAGGGACTGACACAGTCTACCATTAATATGTTAAATGGCTCGTAAAATCCAATAATAGACGAGCCTTAGGTATCTTTTGATTGGGTTTTCATACCGTTTGACAACCGTGACAAGATCTATAATATTTACAAATATCACTTTTAATTTTCTGCCCCAAAACATGAATCCAAATCTTTTGATCAGTCTCATTTATCCCTAAATTACCATCCAAAGGAGTTTCGTGGGCTACACTAAGAATTTCATGTCTGTACGACTAAAGAACAAACTTAATAGCTAAATGACAACTCGTATTCAGCGGGTACTTCAGGTGCTATCCATTTCCTGATAAGGACCACATTTTTATCAAAATAATCAGGTATGTGTGTGCCACCAGTTTCGCTAACAGCCCTCTGAAACAAACAGGAGATATCAGGATGTTATTCCTGTTTGACAATGAGTGATTGCCATTTGTCACCTTCATGAGATTAAAAAGAACGATTAATTAAAAGAGGATAAACACCTTTTGGCTGATCCACACCAGGAACAAAAATTGCCTCATAAAAAGTGTGATCATGAAATGTGGTAAAGGAATAACTTTATGATATTAAGCTCTTAAAATAAGTAACAGAAAATAATGAAGACAACAAGCTTTGTAAAATTTAACAAATAATTTATTTCCCTAAAATACAAAGTGAAAAATGAAGAAAAAAGAATTTACGGTTTTACGAATCAAAATCCCAAAATAATACAGGAATTAAAAATAGAAGTCCTGGCAATAAAAAGTCATAAATGAAGCTGAGTTCGAATGCCGCTGAATTCTAAAATAGAAGACGATGACGTCTGTTTTAACCTTCAAAGTGTATGTGTCTACAGTTTCTTGTTGAATGACAGAAAATATTAATCCAGTTTTGAATTCCGTATATATTCAATAAATGTCTTTGTCCAAGAATTTTAATTTTATTGAAGCATTTTTGTATTCCCAGGGAAAAGAATCACTTGAAATTCAACATTTTGAAGAAAATAAAAATTCAGCTCAAACTTGTCACAAAATAATGACAACATAACAAATCAATTGTGTGGAGCCCGACCGAAAATATTATTTTTTAAGAAAACAGCAGTTATACGCTAAATAAGGCGCAAAGCGGATTTTCGAATGAGGGTCAATTTTCTAGAAAAAATGAAGTTTGTAATAATAAACACATGTTTCATACCACGTACTCTTCCAAGTATGGCTTTGACTGAAC